GGGAAAACTCACATATTGTGTTGTATCTTACTCAAATTTTGCTCATTTTACTTCATTTTTTCTGGAATATGAAAGATACTTCAAAAGTATAATTTTTACAACTTAGATCATGTAATTTGGTTAAGTATTACTGTCGTTTTCATAAATATTGTCACACGTTGATTCATGTGAATTTTGATGTGTGTCACTCATTTCTCAAAAAACTCAACTGAAATCAAGTTTTCTCACTCAATTCAGCACGAAATCTACTGTATAAGCACTCAAAAAATATGTTTAAATTATCTTCACAATCATGTAAGAAAAAATTACACTTAAAAATGCTGTAAAAATCGTACAGAGCAAGCTTTTGTAGTTTCTACTCATAATCATGTAGTTCAAAGATCATTAGAGAGACACAATTGCTCCTAAGAGAATCTAATTCTTTGAGAGTTTAGAATTATCAATTATAAGTGTTATTGATAGGTTTAAAGCAGTACCTAATGCTATTCAAAGTGGAGTTCTATTGCTTCTATATTAACCATTAGTACATTTTATGTAGTCTCTACTACTGTAATCCTGTGCTCTCTGACCAGTAATATAATGGTCTCCTCCCTCATACCTTTAATCTGACTCATACTGAACAACATCTTATTGACCTTTATACAGATTTTTAAGCTTGCTTCCTTATATTTTTTGTCTCTGTGGTTTTTATGTTATACACTAATATGATAGAATTACATGGATTCTATAACTTGCTTATAAAGAAGACTTTCAAAATGTTTAAATCACATGTATAGGCATTGTATGACTCTTATGACATTAGTACATGAGTTAATTTCAGTTCAAATAATACTAGAGTGTGTATAAAAAGCAAGTACAAAGCAAATACAAAGCAAATACAAAGCAAATACAAAGCAAAAAAGAATATTACAAGATCTTTTTAATCACATAATCTTTAGCAGCCTTGTAACCAATTGTAGCCCCCTCAAATTTAAATTTCTAAGATAATATTAGTAGTGTAAGACAAGAAAAAGAAAGAAAAATACTCACATTATCAACAAAAGGTAGATGTATAGATCCTACCAATTTCTTCTTCCCATAACACCTTATTAAAAGGTGTGGGGTGTTGTCATTACCTGACTGATGGATCCCCCCTCTAAATATAATAATGTTAATGTTAATAAGTAAAATAGTAAAGAAAAATAAGTACTTACACAATCTGCACTGTTTTAATACAGCTAAAACGATCTGGGAGTGCTTCCTTAAGCACTTCCAGAATTTTGTCAGTACTGTCCTTACAGGACACACGTTTTGCATCGTTCGTTTTGTACGTCTCATTATCAGCCCAGATGAGCTCGGGAGTATGTCTCGAATTGAGTCTTGAGGTGTGATTGAGTACACAACAGAGAAGCAAAGGAGACTTGGGGAGATAGACACAGTGAAACAGTGAGATCATAAGCAGGGAAGACAGCAGACTATTGAATGTAAGTCGTCCTGTAGATCTGAGGTCAAATACGATTGAAGGACTTACCAAAGGTAATTGTGAGTGCAAGTCGTCACACGACTGCAAAACAGAAGGTAGGTGAGCATATTCGAAGATGTTATCAAAGTCAATGTTGAGTGGATTGTCAACAAGAGATCAAGAGTCGTTGCAGAGTCAAGTTCAGGTGAAATGCATCTAGTGAGTGCTGTGCAAGACAACAAAGCAAGCAAGACAACGAAGCAAGAGACTCAGAAGTGTGGACGGACAGAAGACCTCAATGAAGCTATTGAACTACACTGTGTTGCTCTCAAGCTTCTAGCCAGTTGTATCCTGATCGTTCCTTCCCTCCAAACAACTACACAAGGTATATGCAAGTTCGATTCAGGCTGTGTGAACCACAAGCAGACCTTGAAGCCTCTATACAAATTCGATTTGAGCAGCATGGATGGCCAGAAGATCTCTCAGTGTCTAAGCAAGCTCACAGTCTCTGTGCAAGCTCTATTTGAGCAGAGTGAACAGTGAGACCTTTATACAACTCTGCAGTCTCTTTGTGAGCTCAATTCAAGCAGTGTGAACGGCCAGAAGTCCCAGAAGTCAGAGCATGAGATTGATTCAAGCAGTGTGAGCAGCCAGAAGATCTTACAGTCTCTGTACAAGCTTGATTCAAGTAGTGTGACTGCTAGAAGACCTTGAAGTCTCAATAAACCTCTGAGTCTCAGTACAAGCTTGATTTGAGCAACGTGAACAGCCAGAAGATCTTGATGAAGCTATTGAGCTGCACAGCAATACTCTCGAACTTCGACCCAATGGCCATCTTGATTGTTCTGACTCTCTAAGCAAACTCACAGTGACATTACATGTTCTATTCAGGCAGCTTGGACAGCTAGAATATCCTGATGAAGCCATTGAGCTGTACTACACTGCTCTCAAACTTTCAGTTCAGTCAAAGAAAGCAAGTTGCGTTGCTCAGATGATCAACGGATTGATGCACGTGACCCATAAATTACTTTATTTGTGAAGCTGTGTCCACTTACATGTCAGCATAGCTGTCAGATCCGTTTCCTTGCTCCTAATCACTTTCTTCCTCTTCACTTTCGAGATCAAATCCTACTACTGTGAAAGCGTGTGAACATGTTGCAATCAACAAATCTTATTTTTAAAATATAAGGAAGGTGAAAAAGCATAATGGTATGAAAAAGGTCTGGAGAGAATGCAACCAAGCAGGTATGCACACAGGTTGGGCAAAGTTACTACACACCCCTATCTTGTAAACCAAAACATGATGTAACCTAATGTTAGATAATTGATGATGGTATTGTTAGGTAATCGAGTAATGATATTTTTGGACTGCTCTTACTCTTTTGAGTCTTGTATATGCTGAACTGGTGCAAGACCACATCTTTACAGTTCAATGTTCTCTTGTGTATCATTTGTGAGTCTTCCCCCCTCCCCCAATCTACTAACTTGATTACTCTTCTCTACTGATATCTCATCATATGTTACCTCTAGGGAAGTTATTACATTGCATTCTCAATACTACCTGACTCAATGGATAACTCAAGGCTGAAATCACTGCTTCCTGAGCATTAATACTATCCTACAAGATTTTAACTTCAAACCTTGACTTACTTGTAATGTGCTTCATCCCAGCTCTTGGTGACCTGCTAAGATATTTAAGGATGTAATGCTTTATCCTTTGCTGGTTTTGCAATTATCACCATTTGCATGACTGTACTTACTGCTAGAGTCATGTTCTACAGGACTACTAGCCTTTTCCAGCATTGAACTGTGTGACCAATATCAGCCTTGACTGTGCTGTAATGACTGGCAGGGCATCTTTCTTCAGTACTTGTTGTACTGAAGAAAGCATGAATGCCCTCCCCCTTGCCTGCCACTGTTTCATACAGTGTTGAGGAGGCAAGCAAGCTGTCTGTTGATGTAATGGATGCTGCAGGCAAGCCAGAGGTTGTGAAGCCTGTATTAGACACAGAGAGTGAGGACAAGGAACCCTACACACTACAAGTTGTCTGGGCCTGTCCAGCAACATACACAGCACCAGGGAAGGTTCAATTGTGTGTGTTTTGTGAGGCTGGCACTAGCAGACTGCTAGATTTGCTGAAGGTAGCAAACCCAGCCTGCTTTTACTCTACAATGACTGTATACATTGAGTGCATTTTTTTCTCTTTTCTTTTCCTTTTATTTTCACTTAGTTTCTTTTATTTTCCTTTCTCATTTCATTTTGTGTGTATAAACTGACTATCTTACATTGTAGAGGGGCAATACACAGGTTGCAGGAGGACTGCTGGCTGCACCTATTGGTTCAGTGTGTTGACAAAAAAGGGAGACAGGTCTGCAGTATCCATCTGCCTGCTAACAAAAAACAACATGTAAGTCCCTTCCTTTTCCTTTTCCTTTTCCTTTTCCTTTTCCTTTTCCTTTTCCTTTTCCTTTTCCTT